CAAGATGATATTTACCAAAAAAACTTTTACCAAACAATTTATTTACCAAGAGAAGAATCACTTTTCCGATTTTCTCACTCGTTAGATCTGTCTATACCGCTCGACGCTTCGAACCAGACCGAGTTCAGCTTTGAAAATCTTTTCCTCCAGATTTTACGATTATAAATCTCACTGTACAGTGCGTGTTATGTTCGCATACCGATCTTTCTTCTACGAACTTGCCTCATCGCTCTTTTCAAGTGGCGCCTTCGAAGTGCTCGGACCGTCGTGAGCACGCCTCCCGCGTTCTCGTCGAAACCCGCCGACATTTCTTGTATATATCTTAGTAATTTTACTATATTTTCATTTGATTTCTTGCGCCATTTCAAGAGAAAACTTCAGGGAAACACGCGTGTCTGAAAAAGTTGCGCTGAAATAACTCAATTCCCCGTAATCGCTAATAAACTTGAATGTCCCACTCGAGGGGACATCCGAGCGATATGCTAGAATTACGATGTCCCACGAGAGGGGACAGCGGAGTGCAAAGGGTTAATCTTCCGTTCGCGATCCAATGAAAAGATACGGTTACCGAACTGCTACCGAAACACCGAATGTTCACCTCCCTCCAAAAGTGTCACGACACTCGTAGAAAATTCGATGAATTTGAGAAATTAACGGGACATTGTTTTATCAATTTTTTTCAATTTCTTTCGAACTCGATTTAATCGAAACTGTAACGTATACTTTTAACGGCGCGTATAAATGTAACGTCAATTTTACAAAAGAGAATTACAGTGTCTCTTTTCGGCGATACGTCCGCCGCGATTTTAATCGTTTCTTGGAACAATTTTTGTCGGTTCGTTTTATTGGTTCGTCTATTATTTATTGGTTCCCATTCGATCGTTCCACGTGCAGTAAATTCTCTCCAATTGACGCTAAGATCGCGCAGAAAAATGGACAATTCGGGAAGAAGCGGCACGATTATTCGAGCCTCGCGGCTCGTTTCTATAGTTATTGTCAATCGAGCCGCGCGGCTCGAACGATCGTGTCTCCTATTCCCGAATTGTCCGTTTCTGTTCACGCGTCGAGTGACAATTGGAGGAGAATTTACTGTTATTTCGAGCACGCGTCGGGAAACGAGGAGTTACGAAACGAATTGGGCGCACGCGTTTTCGATGGACGGAACGCGCTCGATGGGAAAGCTGAATCGTACAAGTGAGACGCGCGCTCGTAACTTAACCCTTTGCGGTCGAGTGGTGACTCCGCTAAAAAATGTGTATATCGCGTTCCAAAATAATTCCTTGCATCAAGAATATTTAAAGTTGAGAAAATTGTTAAAAGTATAACCGTTGTATAAGTCGCAGGGCTCAATTCCACGCGCATAAAATGCGCTCTGTCGTATAAAAACAGAGACAGCGTAGGTCGGAAAAATGATTTTAGATTTACGGTTAAAAATGGCTTCGTGTGGAAAGTGTTGATACGCGCTTTCGACGATACGATGCCACGAAACTCGCAGACGTTGCTTAAACCGAACGAAAAAAAACTGCAATTTATATCAGATAAGAAGGTGTTGTAATACTTTTTTTTGAAGGGGGGGGGGGAGTATGTACTTGCGCGAGAAGCGATTTTTAACCCCTAGCGCTCCACGCGTTTCTCGAGTACAACAATGTCTCCCTAACCGACGCTCAGATTGTCCATAAAAATGGACAATTTCGGAAGAGTAGATACTATTGCTCGGTCGCGCTGTGCCCGGCCAGCCCGAGCAATCGAATGCCGCGGAAGCGAAGTCGAAGAGTCGCTCGAGGGAGCGCCTGTTTAGTTTCCGGGCAGCAGTCGGAACTCCGCGTTTCGGTTGGATCAACAAAAGTGGCTTCCGTTCGAAATTTTCCGAGACGATCCTTCCCCCTCCGCGCTTCCGTTAACTCTCCGTGCCAACAAGCTTCTCATCCCGGGAAAGCTCGGAGCCGTCTAATTGCAACGGAGCGAGCTATCGGATCTGCCCGATTCGCCGGCAAACTTCGCCAGACGCCGCGCCGCCAAACTCAAACGAAGCGCCGCGAACTAGCCTAACCTGGTGTGTACGATGATGATCGGCCCGTCGGCTCGGCGTTCGTCTCGCGATAAAAACAGGAGAATCGCGGCTAGGGGAAGGGTTCGATCTTCGAGCCCGTGATCGTTTCCGCAACACAATCGTTAATTAAATTATCCGTTATTATAATATATATATTAATATATAAATATATTATTATAATAAATATTATAATAAATATATTATTATATATATATTATATTATCCGTTAAATTATTCGTTAATTAAAATATCCGTAGAAAACGATTGTAAAACTTCTCGAAGATGCGTCCAACCAGCTGGAGAAATTCGGGTTAAATTCGACTGACTAAATCGTCGAACGGGTTCGTTCGACGCGCGATAAATCGAACGCGAAACAATCGTAAATCGAGTTTCGAAGGAGAGAGAGAGAGAGAGAAAGAGAGAGAGAGAGAGACTTTCGAACCCGCCGCGCTTTTATTCGCGGAAATGATCGTTGAACTTCCGCGGAAACGTTTGAACTTGCAAAGTCGAATTTTTCTGCGGCAGGTGAAAAAGTTTCGAGGGGCTTCGAGCTCGAACGCGAGTCCAAGAGCGCCTCGTTGTCGGGGGATTTCCGTGTTTTTCGGGGAATCGTGTAATAGAGGCCCGAACGCAGAGGATTTTTTTTAGAAAATCGGGGAAGTCGATTTTCTCGAAGTTCGAAACCGGAATAAGCTCTCGCGGTAACTCGATTTTGCGGCGTCATCGTTGCGTAGCCGATGCTGCAATCGCTCGACCACGATATTCCCTCGGCAGAAAGGGCTCTCCGTGTGCCAGAGCCGGCTGGGCAAGCCCGAGTGCCAAATTCGATTCGGTGACCGCCCCCGGGGACGCTGACCGACGCTCGCCGACCCTCGCCGACGCTGACCGGCACGTGCCGACCCTCGCCGGCGCTCGCCGATGCTCGCCGACTCTGACCGGCACGCACCGACCCTCGCCGACTCTCGCCGACGCTGACCGGCACGCGCCGATTTCCTACGATACTCTGCGCGATCGTTCGGTAGACCGACTCGTTCCTCTCGCCCGGCTCCAGCGTTTGCCAAAGCTGCCAGCCGCCTTGTCGAAACGTCGTCGAAAATTGTTATCGCCTCTTCGCTCTGAATTAATTCTCCGGGGAGAAAGGACGATGGTCGTCGAGTCGCTCGAGAAACATTAGAAACAAACACGCGGTTTATCTTGTCCGCGATACTTTTAAGAAGCTCACTTCGTCTTCTTTCGCGCATTCGACGACGGTTAACGGGAAAATTGTTTTCGCTTTAGGGAAGATATTACAGTTAAGTTAACCCCTGTAGAAAATTGGGTGGCTGCAACGCGATTTCGTTTTAATGCGCTCAGGGATTTCGAGAACCCTATGGCGGAACGCCGCGCCGTTTCGCACGCAAGAAAGTCTCGCCTGTTTTTCGACGATGCGATCGATTCGCTCTACCGACTTTAGATCATTTCCATCCGAAAGTCTATCGACTGTGTAATCGACCAAATCGAATCCGCGAGCCGGAACAACTCTATGGAAAGGCTGCGTCGAAGACAAAGTTTGCCGTTGCACCGTCGCGGCAGTCGAGTTAATAAACCGAAATCGCTGGCGCGACGAACGACCGCGGCGATAAAATCAAAATGAAACTTCGCGAAGTACGTATTAAAGCAATTGCATCGTACAATGCCATCGGCGGCTGCCGTTAACCCCTAGGCTACCGGGGGCGCCTACGGGCGCCTTAGAATTTTGCGTTTGCGACACTGAGAGCGCCTTTTTAGGCGCAGAGGGTGTCCGTAGGCGCCCTGAGAATTTGATCGATATTTACATATTTCGATAGATCTTATCGAAAGTTTTACGTTAATATTAAATTTTGTGATATTTATAGCAATTTGGTTCAATATTATATACAATTTTAATATTTTGTAATATTTATGGCAATTCTAATTTTATAGCAATATAATTTTGTAGTATTTATAGCAATTTGGTTCAATATTACTGTCTGTTCGTAGACAGAGCGCGCGATTCGACGGTGCAGCGAGCGAATTGACCGGCATTGTCGCGGCAAGTGTGCTTCTCCGCTCGTCAACGGCTCCACCGATCGTCGCGCAAACGCTTCCGAACGATCCTCTCTTCATTTTTTTTTTATTTATCTCCGCTTCGAGCAAGCAGATATCGTTCTTCCCGACCTCGACCGATTTCTCTCCGCCTCTCTCTCTCTTCTCTTCTCTTCGCCCCCTCTCTCCCCCCTTTCTCACCCCCTTTCTGCCTTTGCGAAGCAGCGTTTTTCGCAAGGGTCCAATCCATTTCGCGAAACAATGAAACATATCGCGGTCTCCTTTCTCTCCGTCACCGTTTTCTCATCGGCCTCTCGGTCGCTTTTCGCTTCTCGCTCTTCTCATCTCGCATTTCGCGTTTCACTTTTATTTTTACGCGCGTTCCAATTGCCGGCCGACCCGGCCGCGTTTCAAGGTCCGACGTCATAGACGGAAACGACGCGTTCCCGGAACGATGCCAGCCGCCGCGTTCGCGCGAATCTCCGCGATATCTCGCCGCGAGGACGCCGCGAGAAACGATTCGCAGCGGCACGCGGAGACGCTTGAGCGACCGAGGTCGCTCTTCCCCAACCCGAAGGTGCGCCGTCGATACGACGCGAGCCTCGAACGCGTATTTTTTAAACGTTCATATATATAGAGGGTGTCCCGAAAATGTTTCGTAATCCGGAAATGGGAGGTTCCCGAGGTCGTTCGAAGCAACTTTTTCCTTTGCGAAAATTTTCTCCGAGGCTTCGTTTACGAGTTATCAACGAAAAACACCGACCAATAAGAGGCGAGCTCGGCTGGCGCGCGGCGGCCCAGCCAACGAGCGCGCGGAGCCCGGTTCCGTCCATTGGCTCGGCCGTCTCGCGCCAAACGATCTCGCCTCCGATCGCATTTTCGCTAAGGAAAAAGTTGCTTCGAATCACCTCAGGAATCCCCTGCTTTCGGACTGCGAGACATTTTTGAGACACTCTGTACTTTTGACTCGACAATGTTCTAGCTGCTCTCGAGACGATTTCGACGCGATTTCGACGATTTCATAAGCTTAGACCTTGAAACGACGTTAAAGTAATTTAGGAAAGCGAATTCCCAGACCGCTGTGCATCGTCGTAGGCTGTTTTGAGCCTGTCGACGAATCGTCGACACGGAACACAACGATCCAATAGAGAGAGAGAGAGAGAGAGAGAGAGAGAGAGAG